ATATCTTGCACGCATATATAGAATGGGGTAGAAATATCTGCACTCCGTTCTACCCCGTTTAGCGAGGCCTCACAGCTGTTGTTGCTCTGATGCTGTGTGTGAATCAACTCTTTTCGGCCACTAGTGCTCCGTATGGGGTTCTGGCAGGCCACGTAGGCCCAACCCTGGGTTGATCGTGCAAGCCTGACTATGCGAAGCAGACAGGTAAGCAGTATATTGCGCTCGCTCATGGCGTTACCGTAGCTTATGTGTGCAGGCGTCATTGACTGATTCATCCTGAGCTGATCTATAACGAATCTCGCCATTGCCATTCGACGCGCTCCCTCCATGTTAACAGTTCCCGCCATACCACGCCTCGTACTGTAGTCTACACCTAAGGACGAACTAAAGAGCCTTCTGCAAGCTGAAACAGCTGAAAGGGTTATTGTAGAATAATGGTAATACGACATAGAATGGTATAGGATAATCAAGGAGCGGTGAAAATGTCAGCAGCCATGAATGATACATCCTGCTTGAAGCCTCGCTCCGGGGATCTCTCACGATGTTCTTCTCGAGTTCGTCTCGAATCTGTCTCAAGAGCGTTGACTCGTTGATAATTACCACCACTTACGTTTCGTCTCGATTGGGTTACCCTGTTGAGCTCCATGAGACTCTGATTGACGGTAGACGTTGAGCAAGTCAGGCGCTTGGTGCTTCATAGTAAGCAGCGATGACCCCCATACCTGACAGTAGTGGAAGTACAGCAAAGTAGACAACAGTGAATGCCCTACCACCGATGCCAACCAATGAGAGCTCTCTCGAGGCAGTATCCTCAACATCTCCTTCAAAAAGGCTTCGAGGATCTCTGATGACTGTAGCGAATGGCTGCTCAAATTGAAGTAACACACTTCCCCATGGGTCGAGTCTGAGTGGTTGATCGAGATGATGGTCCGAGAGAAACCAGGAAGCTTACCAGAGCTCTGTAATGGCATTAAGTTGACTGTCACTCCCGAGGGTAGTGAGTAGATGTCGGTTACAGACAGAACGAGTGCATACCTAAGGATACCACATGGTAAAAGGACTACAAGACAATGCGGCTCACAACGGGAATCTATTGAAGAACATGATAACCGTCCAAAGCCCCAACTGGATTAACAGTACCTATCGGATGAAAATGCTGAGGATGAAGTGCCACAGTGTTCTCACCGCGAGCCAAAGGAGCATGAAACACACATAGAAGACGAACACTGTTGGCAGTAGGAAAACGAAAAGGGCTAAGAAAACTGCTCCGAGAAGTAGCTGCTCAAGATCGAACGGATGAGCATCAACGCGTTCGCGAAGGACGTTATACTTCTTTCCTGTGGGGAAAATGGCAAGAAGCGTGTCTTACATCGATACTACCTCGAAATAGGAGAAAGAGTGTGTAAAGATTGGAGGTGTTGGTGTTCCACAATCGAGTGACTCCCACGTAGACAAAAAAGATATGGAAGAACACAATGGAGAGAAGGTCGATGATGAACGCCAACTGAAGAGAAGAGAAACCCTTGCTGGCTCAACAATGGGCAGAGATAACGGACCAGGACCGAGGCACCACATGCTCCCAAGCAGGCTAGTAGTAAGGGACGAAGCAGCTCGAACTTGTACCCAACAGTGGGGTCGGATGCCTCTTCTGAGGGATAGTCCTACAACGGGTAGTAGAATGAAATAAGAGAGGGGTCCGTCATATGCTTACGAAGGTTTCACCGCCTTGTGATGTGGAGCAGTACTTCATGAGCAGGTTCCAGTAGTTTACTACGGTCAGGGAAATAGTGCCTATGAGAGAGGTAGGGAGGGATTTCGTGGCGCGCGGTCACGACAATCATGACCATTGAGCCGTAGGATGACAGGTAGGGACTTACCGACGAATTTGGCGAGGTTCTTGTTCATCTGAAACCCTGCCGGGCTTCCCATCAGCCATTCCACCGTAGACTGCAAGACATGCTCGTTCAAGTAGAAGTAGGCATTTCGCAAAGGGAGGAGAAAGTAGGAGGGGGTCCACTGTATAAGGCACGCCAGAGTCTGAGAGAATGCATGATGGGAACCCCTCCGACAACAGAAGAATAGCTCACTAATCCAACTGCTGTGTCGAGGCCTATCATAGAGGCTGTGTGGAACAGACGGAGGCCTTGCATGGAGCCACCTATAACGAGTGATGGGAGATGAGAGGCCGAGAGGAGCACAACACCATTCTGGTCCGACAGGGGGTTTTCTCGCCATGCCCGCCACAAGGCTGGTAGCTGCAAGCATTGCCTCAGCCTATACGATACTTGAGTATAAAAGCAAGAATAGTCGTACCATCTGAGGCATAGTGGTAGGGCAGGAAAACGAGAGCTGCGATTGATGGAAGAGAATACGTTACACCTCAAACGATATATGAGAGGTCACTGGAACATCCCGATAGAAAATAGCAGCCTTACCGGTATTTATGCTTGATCGAATGCTTCCGATCGCCGCCCTGAGCATCGTTTATCAACTGGTCTCCACCAAGGAAAAGGCAGCTCAGCAAGGACAGTACAAGGCAGTAGAATCCACATAGACGGGCAGGCGCGGAGAGGCGGAGTGCGTTATTGCTAGTTCTGCTGCCCTCCAGGCTCATAGACCCACGATTGATCCGCTGAATGGCGCTGCTCAATTGGGTGACAGGAGTGTACTCTGGGATAGGTGACAATGCATGGCCTGAAGTCTTGCCAATACAAACCAGGAGTACTGTAGGGGGGGGGGATGCTCACGTATTCTAGCCGTACGTCTCTTGGATGAGCCTTTTCGACTGGTCCGCTCGGGTGTCCTCCTTTTCACCGGTTTTGATTCCTCGTCATCAGTACTGTACAACCACCGTGCCAGATCCAGCCGGCGGGTCGAATAGGTGTAGCCCACGGCCGGCGGGGAGTAGATCAGGATGTGAATAGAGCTGCGATTCTCGCACGCCGTCGAACCTGTACACGTCTTCACGAGGAGAACCTGTCTGACACAGCTTACCTGCAAGGACTCGAGGTAATGCTACACCTTGGCAGATACCCAGCATCAATAGCGGTTTCTCTGGATGATGGGATTCCTCAGTGAACTGGTCCTCATCTGGCCGCCACCGACCTAGCCAACATATGGTTGAAGGCAGTGACAAAGCATTCCTTTCGTGGACCTAGGAGCATACTGGTATCTCCGATTCAACACTTACATGTCCGAGCCAACCTTGCATATATAAATGGTATCAGCATCTATCCTCTCCCCACACAGATGGCCAGGTAAGGCCAACAAGTAAGTGGTAGGGAAGTAGATCTGTAGAGGCTCATTGTAGAGGTCTGATGATGACGGGTCGGTCAGCGGGCTGTTGGCCGACATGACAGAAGCAGGAGGAGGAGGCTACTATAATGATAGAGATATGCACAGCTTGTGATGCCACAGCTCACTACTCCTAGTGGGGTGGCTATGCCACTGCCACATATGCCCTCATACAGTCAAACTCGCTGCTGGTGAGAGCCTTCCCACGAGTGGGGCGGCTATGGCATAGCCGCTATGCCACCGCAAGATATACCTTCATACAGTCGATTCCATTGCTAGTGAGACCATTTTTCCGGTTGGGGTGGCTATGCCACAGTTAGATATACCTTCATACAGGCAATGATAACACATACAATAATGGAGGATTGGGCTGGCATATCTGCCCCGCACGAGACTGGCCTCACTCACAGCGGAATTTTCGCCAGATTGACTGTCCTATGCCATGCGCCTGCGGGATTGATTGTGCTGGAGCGTACCCTGGAACAACCTGTTTGCCCCGCCTGCAGAGACTGACCGTAATACGACCTATCTTGGAGTGGCATAGTTACTCTCCCTGCAGAAATTGATCGAAATACGGCCTATCTTAGAATTGCATAGTTGCCCCACCTCCGGAAATCAACCGGAATACGGCTTATCTTATAATGGCATAGTTGCCCCATCTGCAAAAAGTGCACTGTACTACGGCCTATCTTATCGTGACATAGTTGCCCCATCTGTAAAAATGCACCAAAATACGGCCTATCTTAGCGTGGCATAGTTGCCCCATCTGCAAAAAGTGCACTGTACTACGGCCTATCTTATCGTGACATAGTTGCCCCATCTGTAAAAATGCACCAAAATACGGCCTATCTTAGCGTGGCATAGTTGCCCCAACTGTAAAAATGCACCAAAATACGGCCTATCTTAGCGTGGCATAGTTGCCCCATCCGTAAAAATGCACCAAAATACGGCCTATCTTAGCGTGGCATAGTTGCCCCATCTGTAAAAATGCACCAAAATACGGCCTATCTTAGCGTGGCATAGTTGCCCCAACTGTAAAAATGCACCAAAATACGGCCTATCTTAGCGTGGCATAGTTGCCCCAACTGTAAAAATGCACCAAAATACGGCCTATCTTAGCGTGGCATAGTTGCCCCAACTGTAAAAATGCACCAAAATACGGCCTATCTTAGCGTGGCATAGTTGCCCCAACTGTAAAAATGCACCAAAATACGGCCTATCTTAGAGTGGCATAGTTGCCCCATCCGAGG